TGCTTGCAGTATGACTAGTAAAACCGAAGCACAGAATATACAGTCAGAGTTTCTGCAACACTCTACCGTCAGCTCCAAGTAGAGTTTGTTATAGGTGAAGATTCTGTGTTCTCATCCATAAGGCCACTAACATCCCCTGTGCCATTTCCTTGTGATTTTTATGTTGGGGTTACCCCATTACTCTCTGAAGGGAGGGCAGGGAAGGGTGGCCAGCCAGAGCTTCCTTGCTCAGCAGCGTGGTTTTGGACTGCAGAGCTGTGCATGGAGGTTTTTGAGTTGGGCCAAGGCTAATGGAAATCAAGAAGCATTTCTTATCATAGGGATATTTTCTTCTAGACAACTGAATTTCTGTAAGTTACGCCGAACATATTGCTATAGGTTTGAGAACAAGTAATTCTTGGCTTTGATAATGAAAGTGGGAAGAAAGAGAGAGAAAAAATAGAAGCCAAGAAAGATGGGTTTTTTGTGTGAAATCAGTTCAGATGGTGCTCAGATGTGGTGGGAAGACAGCATACAAGCTTCACACGAGTCCTGGTGGGAACGTTTTTGGGATTACCGAACCGATCAACCCATTAGAATATGCCAGAGAGGACAAGAAAGGCACAGAGTGGCCTGTTTTTGGGCTAACTGTAGTGAAGGCAGACCGGGATGCCTCCCTCCAGTTGGCTCTCACTTTCCCCAGCTGTGTTGGACAGGAGCTGTATTTACCCTTCCAGAAGAATGGGGACGTTGTTGTTTACAAGGACAGGGTTTCAGAGCGGGTGAGAAGGGCTGCAAAAGAGCAGATAGCTTCATGATCACAGCATACGATAACAGAAAACTTCACCTTGATTGTTACCTGACTGGCGCGTGCCCAGCCCACTTCTCATCTTCCTTTAGAGAGAATCACTAGAAAATATAATGGAGTCACTTGGGAGCTTGATGACACAAGGAAAGATTAAGGAAGATGGTGAATGAAGAGACTGGGGAAGCAGAAATAACACAAGAAAAAGGGAAACAAGCGCTCCTGCTACATTCTACAGGATTCTTCCCCCACCCCCTTTTGGCCCTGGAGAACTCAGGGCCTTTACACAGAGCTCTATCACCAGCCCCTTTTTATTTTTTATTTTGAGACAAGGCCTTGCCAAGTTGCTAAGTTGCCCGGGCTGGGCTTGAACTTGCGATGTTCCCTGCTCAGGCTCCCAGAGTGCTGGGATCACAGGTGTGCGCCACCACAACCCGCTCATAAGCTTCATTACAGTGCCACCGCCAATACACTCCTTGGTAGGAAAAGAGGAGAAAGATCTGATGTTTAATAGGAAAAACTGATATTTAGTGATGTCTTGTCTGTCATCTATAACTACTTAGAAGCCACCTCAAATCTATAGGACTAAAAACAAATTCACGTGATGAGCTCATGATTCTGGAGTCACAATTTTGGCTGGTTTAGGCTGTTGCACCTGGGGGCTTTTCTGCTTCTGCTGTCTCCTGGCAGCCTGAGCTGGGTGCTCTGACGGGAGCTCCCGATAAATCCGGCTGTGGGTCCGTCAGCCTGGCCTCTCTCTCTATGTGGTTCTCATGGTTCAGATCTGGTTAGGGCCTCTTTCCGAGATGACCTCAAGTTCTGAGGGGGCAGGCGCAGAACTACCAGGTCTTTTGTATCTAGGCTTGAAGATTCCATGTCCTGTCTGCTGCCCTGCAGGTAAGTCCCAAGTCCATGGGGACTGAGGAGTGTGGACAGACTACCACAGAATGAGAGTCCCAAGGTGCATGTTAACTAATCCCACACCACTTGCCAACCAGATGTGCAGTGATGCACAGTGGAACATTCCCTTCTAAGGCAGGAAAAGGTCACCTGAACATCTCCGTAAACACCTGTCGCCGCGTAGGAACACATACTGGTGGCTCTGCCACTACAGAGAACTTTAAAGGGTTTAATGAATTTTCAGACTTCTTAATAGCGCTCATCTACAACTGTTTTAATGATTTTAAAATAAGGGTAATGACACCACAGAAAGACTTTCTAGTGTTCACTCTGTTAAATATACAACCCTAATACATTTTGCTGGCCATCTGCTTAAATTAGAGTTGTAAGTGAACTTTAATATGGCTTGTCACTTTTATTGGAAAAACTAAATCAAATCACTACGAGCTACAAATAATCCAAATGGAAATGACTTAGCTAGAGGAAATCCTGGACTACTTTGCAAGAATTTGATTATTTCAGTAATGAAAATGAAGAGAAACATAATGGGGACAAAAATTCTGCTTTCTGGGTCCCTATAATGTATGCCGAGCATGCCACATACATTAACTCCTTCACTACTCCCAATAATCCTGAGTATTAGGTAACATGATCAGTGTTTTACAGGTGAAAAATCTGAAAGTGAGCAAGGCAAATGCCCTGCTCCAAGTTCTCATTTAGCTAACCCGTTAGAAGGCCAGGGTTCAACCTAGCTCCTTCCCGATATTTTATTGAGATTAATATGTATTATACATATTAAAATCATGCACATTTCAGCCTACTTAAAAAAGCCATAATTGTATTGTAAACATTTTCAGTTGCCACGCAGCTTCATCATTATCCTCTTTAATGGCTGCATAATATTTTATTATTTCTTTCATGTGTTGGAGCGTAATTCAATTCACCGTTACTCGGAGTGGGATATCCAGGTTGTGCACGTTAAGGCTCAGAGCTATGAATTAGATTAAATCTGGCTAAGTAACATTTCTAGAGCTGGCTGTAATGATTTGTCTTTAAATATAGTGTTTATAACCCATCCGGACCTTGTTATTCCCTTTTCTTTTGTCATTTTCCTTGAAATGGTGTTTATTAACAAGATTAGGCCTGCTTAGATAATTATAAGGCAGTAAGTACCTGAAATTAGACACGTACTTCTCTGCCTAGCGCTCTACTCCTAGCACCCAAGCACTTCCGGTGTATTTCAAGAGCGGTTCCTTGCTCAGCACTGACCCCCTTACCTTTGCCTTGTAGAGCATTTTCCCTTCACCAGGAAGGGTGAGCTGATAGCATCCAGCAGGGCTGGGAGGCATCCACGTGCACATCCCATCTCTGGCCAGCAGATGTCTCCATTTCACTCCCCCTCCTTTGCAGGTTCCTCCTGAATGGGAAAACCTGGGAACGAAACCCATGGGTGAGAAGTTGTCCCCTCCATCACCGCCCACCAGCCTCCACCTGTTCCCTTCCCCTCCTCTCCCTAGTTTCCTGATTGGAGGCGTCCAGGCCTTTGGGACAGGGATGTCACGTGAGTGTAAACACATTCCTTCACCAAATCTGTTTGCAAAGCGGGACCTGTAACTGAGAGCCATCTCCCGGAGCAAAAGGCTTTTCTCTTTAAATAGCACCACACTCCCAGCTAGCAGCTATGCTACTGAGTCCTAACAATTAATTACATTCAGAGGTGAGAAGACAGGGTTTAACGCTCTGACGCGATCTGCGTTTAGGCTGCTATCTCATCCCGCTGCTATTTAAAACAAAGTCACTCTTCCAAGGAAGCGTCTGCGCTGAGGATGGTGCAAAGCTTCGGTCTGAAGACATCCCCGGCAACTGAATATTCCTGTTTTAGCTTCCGGACGGGCTTCATATGTGCATTTGGATTTTCTAGATTTCTGTAATGAAGTGCATCTCTTTCGATTTGGGAATTGGAGAGGAGGAGGGGCCTAGGAAGGTCCGTCGTTTTCATCAGGAATTTTCTAGGTGAGGGATGTTTGCAGGGTGAGTTATTAGAAAAGGGAAAACAGTTCAAACCGATCACAGGGGCAGGCACCCCAGGCAGGTTTTGGGGTGGGCTGGGTAGGCCCCTTCTCCCACGAGTCAGGAGAAGGGGTCTATTGATGGGCTGGCCCCGGAGCGAGGATCAGGACCGGAGCTGGAGCGAGAGGTGGTGGCGGGACCAAGGGCATCTGGGGAGATGATTAGCCACTCAGAGGCAGCTTAGTGGCTTTGCTTGAGGCTCCCAGGGACACAGAGGGTCCTGGTCCTGGAAGTTCGCCCCACCGTGCTTGCACCTGTGTTTCGCATCAGCCTCAGCAACCCTGCCCGCAGCTGCCCTGAGGCCCAGGCCCACACGGATGTCAGGAGCACGGAGTGAGGGGTACGGGCAAGAACGCCTGCCCGAAGGCATCTGGGTGCCCGCTTCACCCCGCTCCACCGGCCTCACCTGTTCCCCCGCGGTGGGATGTGGACACTCATCTCGCCAAACTGTCTGGCAGGTGGGGGAGCCGGGCCTGGACAGGAGAGGTAACCCGTCCACGCGGGCCGGCCGGCCGGCACCTAACGGGGCCGGGGCGCCCAGGGCGGCTTCGCTGGGTTCTCAGAGCCCTGCAGCGCCCACCCTCACAGGATCTGCCCTCAGCAGCCGCTCGCTCTCCTCTCTCAGGCCTTACTCCACTCACCTGTTGGGCCCCCTGAGAAGCGCTTCACCCATGAGTCCTAGTTTCTTTTCTTCCCAGCCTTTATCCTCACTGCCTACAGCACGGCATGTTCAGGTGTTGTCTCCATCCCCACTCCCTCAACCACAGTGTGAGCTCAGGAGAGGAGAAACACGGTTTTCTCTGCACCACTGTATGCTCAGAACCCAGCACAGGGACTGGAGCTTAATAAGTGCTCATTTAACTCGAGCGCGAAGAAGGATGCAAGCGCCTCCCCAGCACAGTGCCAGGCACATCCCAAGGCTTCAGAGAGCCCAGCCGGGGCAACTCGGACCCCAGTGTGCTGGCTTCTTCACTAAGCCACCCCCTCCCACGGTCCGGTCCCCAGGCCCTTTCTCCCCAGCCAGTCCGATCCCTCTACCAGATTCCAACCCCCTCCGGGCTGCCAGGGCTCCAGCCTCTGCACGCGCCTCCCGCTGGGATCTGGGGGCCGCGAAGTCTGCCCCCACCCGCGGCCCGGAGCCCGCCCCGGGCATGCTCAGAGCGCGCAGGTCCGGGCGGCGGCGCGGGGGTGGGGTGGGGTGGGGTGGGGTGGGGGGGGGGCGGAGGGAGCGCTCGGCCCGGGCGGAGCTGCGCAGTCCTCGGCGGCGGTGCCCACAAGTTGCCGGCGGCCCAGCGCCGCGCCGCGTCCTCCCGCTCGCAGCCCTCCGCGTCCACCAGCCGGCGCCAGGACGCGCGTCCCGCGGACCCCGACCCCGATGTGAGGGCGGGCCCGGCAGCTCCTCACCGCCCCGCCGGCGCGATTCAGTCTCGCTAGCCTCCCCGCCGTCCGACCCCACGGCTGGAAGATGTGGCAGCCGGCCACGGAGCGCCTGCAGGTAAGGGCACCGGGAGGGAGCCGGGGCCAGCCGGGAGGAGGAGGTGCCCGGCCGCAGGCGCCAGGGTCCGCCGGCAGGGCGCTTCGAGATGCGCGCTCGGAAGCCGCGCGCCCAGCTCGGCTGGGCTCTGGGCTCGGAGCTCCTCGGGGCCAGGAGGGTGCAATGCTGGGGGCGCTGCTCCGGGCGCCACAACTTCTGGCCCCGAGGTGTTTGTGTGTCTGTTGGTATAAATCACGTTCGACTTTCAGAGCTGCAATTTCAGGTTGCGTCCCACTGACACAATTTGCTGGTCTGGGTTTAGGGTTTTCGAATCCAGGTTTTTCTCTCCCCTTTTGGTCCCTAGGAAAGACAGAACAAATGATTTGCGAAAGCATCCATTTGCCAGTGTAATTTGGATATGTCAGACTCAGTTTGGCTCGGTCATGGTATGCTACTTATAATATTTTATTTTATTTTTCCGTTTCTCGTTGGCTCTTTATCTGCCCTGAATGCAGGCTCTTCTAGATGCTTCGAAGTCAGAAGTTAAGTTTAGCCAGGAATGGCTGCGTCCTGGGGCATCCCATTGAAAGTTTGGCACCGCTGTCTCCGAAATGCCAGACCGCCTTTGATGTGTGGCTTCCGAAGCCAGGGAGTGGGTGTGTGTTTGTGTGTGTGTGTGTGGGGTGTCAGCGTGACAAGGGGGTGTTTTCCCAGGAAGACTCCTTCAGTGACGCTTGGGCCGTGGGACCCCCTAGCTGCCAGGTTTGATGACTGCCTTCTGGTCGCAAATATCATCCCGAGAGATACCAAGTACTCTCAGCGGAATCCTGCAGTTAAACTTTTGGCAGGTTGTTTCCTAGTAAACTTCGAGGAAGCGCTTCAGAGGTAAAACTCAGCACCGTTGGAGGCTGCGCATGTCTGCGGACTGAGAACAGGCGAGACGCCTTGGCTGCTTGGGAGGTTTCTCAATGAACATTCCAAGCCCCAAACGCAGTGCCTCCAGGCTAGACAAGGCCAGCTTTGCCTACCAGGCCTACAGAGGACTGACCTGCAGGGGGCGCTGCACATAGCAGAAGCAGATAATCTGCAGCTCCTTTCCAAGACTCCCTGGGCCAGGCCCTGTGGAAGAAGAGGGTGAAGGCCTCCTGGCTGTGACTGGCACAAGGAGATGCGGATGCGTTTAGGCAGTGGCGCAGATCCCTGTGGTGCCTTTGGGTTCCCCTGCTGTGCAAAGCATGGATTTGATTCCAAGGAGGCAGAGTGATTGAGGGGAGGTGGTGGAGTCCCATCAAGCACAGAGTCCCAGCTCCTGAGGTCTTGTGGCCTGGTGGCCGTGCCTGTGAAGAGTTTGTAGCCGATCTGCTGAAGTTCTTCCTGCTGCCAGTCTCTCTGACCAGTCCGGTTCACTCCCGAGCTCCTGATCCATGGCAGGCAGGGCTCTGGCTCCTGTCCCCCCCGGTGGTCATTCCTAGGCTGAAATGTCTCCTGCCTCTTCTGTGAAATGCACACGTGTGTGTTTTGGCCCCGGTCTGGTTCATTACAGTTTGCGTTTGCAATGTGTTTGTTTTATTTCAAGGTGCCATGTTGAAAGAGCCTGACGTTAGGCTTCTGAAAACTCTGGTAAGCGGGGCTTATCACTAAGATTCAGTCCCTCTGGGAAGGTTCTCACCCATCCTGGGCCCTCCATCATGTTCCCAAATCATCAGTGAACCCGTTTCTCTTTGAAAAACACATTTCGAGCCTTGAGATTATAAAAGTGAGCCGAGTGTGGGGAAGATATCTTCATGACTTGTTCCCAAACAGCCACTGGACTCTCTTTGAAAACACTGTCTATTTTTACTTTTTGCTTCTGGGAGACTTTTTGCTGTTGAGAGTGAGGTGCCGAGCGAGCTGCTTGTAATAATATTTTATTTACTTTCCTTGTGGTTATCCCGTGTGGTTGTCACGGTCTCTGTTTGCTGTCTGGGATTTTTTCCTCCCCCTTTGGCCCTCAAGGCACAATCGTATAGCTACGTGTGTTTCCGATTCCTCCCTGTCTATGCCATGGTCACGGTTGCGACCACAGCAGTGGGACTGGCTGGGGGAATAGACCGCCAGTCCTGGGAAAATGGTAAACCTCACCTTCCTTTTGCAAATCTTTCTAACCTCATACAATGTCATCAATTTTTTTCTTATTAATTTTTAATACAAACATTTTCATTGAGATGAGTTGAAGTGAAGAAAATGCTTCAAGGAACTATTCCCAGAGCTTCCTAATAAGACCAAGGAATCAGTGGATTCTAGAAATACCTAGAAACAAAAAAGGCAAGGAAAGAAAAAAGAACCACATCCTTTGCTAATGGGTTGTGTTAGTTCCTTTCAGATGAGGCCCGTGGGCCTGGGAACGTGGCACAACTTTGCTTAGACCTGGCCCTTACTCCGATTGTCTTTTGAGGGCAGTATCCACTTGATTCCCATGCTGAGGAAATGCTACCTTTGATCGGATTTGATTATCATTATCATTATCCACATGATTGGGGAAAAAATGATGCTGATGTTTTCTGATTTGTGGTTGAGTTCATTGACCCAGATCCAGCACCGGGAAAGAGACCTGAGGCTCCAAGAAAAGCCGAGCTGGGTAATTTCTCATTCAGTCCCCGGAGCTGCTGTGACTTCGCCTGCTCCCTTGAATGTTAAAACTTGGGTTTCCTCGGCCCCAGCCCTGGCTGGGAGCTTCTGCCATTAAAAATATAATAGGATGGAAAGGAATGTGAAGACTTAAATCACCACCCCAACTTTTAAAAATGTAAATATGAATTCCTCCCTTTGTACCTTCTCCCAGGCACAGTAGATTTTTTTTTTTCCTTTTTCTTTTTTTGCAAGGACTCTGGAGAATTAGACATTTTTAAAGAAGCAGATTTGAAACAGGCTCTTTTCAAACAAGTGAAGGGGACTTTTCAGTAGAAAAAGATGATTGTTTTTTTTTTTTAAATAGAGATGAGATTCCTTCTGGCCTTGATATTTTAAAATTAGCATGGATTTCCTGATTGTTATCTTGGGTGAGCCAAGGTAAACACCAGGGACACACACTTCCCCAGAGCAAACATCCTCAGTGAGCTACTAGATCCTTTTCCTCAAGGGTAAGAAAGGAGAAAAGCAGGAAAAAGATGCAATAGATTGAGGTCCAATTAGGAGGCCAGCACCCTTGGTAGTGTTTGTTAGGAGGGTGGAGCAGAACTTGCCCTTGGTAGTGGAGATGTATGGGAAATACATTGTAGCAAATTCTAATCAGGGATGGAGTCTGTGTACAACCATCTTCTCATGAGTCATTCTACACAGGTTCCAATTTAGTTGTCTGCCTGTTTTTCCCCATATTGAAGTTCTTCCCATGACAGATCCAGGAAATCTGAAGCTTTTAATCCTTGAAGCTGGATTTTGATTTCCCTCCCTCCCACCCTCCTCCCCCTTCTCCCTCCCTCTCCTCCTCCTCTTCTTCCTCTTCTTCCTCCTCCTCCTCTTCTTCCTCCACCTTTGAAAAAACACTCTTATTTTGGCCAAAGAAAGTGAAGTGAGGAAACGGGTGGCTGGGGGGATCGTCTCTTGAGGGCTTGTTTTATGTCTTCTTTTTAAACATTTGGCTGATAAAGACATTGAGGTTCTGAAGTAAGTGCTATTGGAGGAGCTTAAGAGGTGAGGGTGCCTTTCCAGCTCACCCTGCCTTGGCCCTGACTTGTCCTATCTGGCAGATCTTGTCTTGATTCAGAGTGTGGGTTGTTCTAGATTTACCGCTCTGGCGTTAGGCCAGGTTCACTGTTCCCCTGAGAGCCAGACTGAAGAACCCTCTAGCACATCAGCTGGAGCCCACTGGACCTGGCTTATCAGGCAGAGACGAAGCTGGAAAATTTGACATACTTCCAGGGGTCCCACACGGACAGGAGGAGCACAGAGGAAGGTCGGGGCTTCTAACAACCTGCTCTTACACATGTTCTGTGTGGCACTGTGCTGAGGCATTGTAGCTGAGTCATCTCGGTCACTGACTTGGCAGAACCATTTTTATCCCTATTATATAGATAAAGAAACCAGAGGCCAGACAGTTGTAGTGATTTGGCCAGGGTCAGGCAGCAAGACATGAGCTGAGCCAGAGCTTGACCTCAGAGGTTTGGCACCGAGCCTTACTTCCTAACCACCTCATGGTCATGAGGAAGAATGACACGAAGCATGGTAAGATGTTGGTGCACATGTCGCTCTGTGGGTGTGGAATGAGAACCATCTCATAGGCCATCTCATAGGCTAAGGGAGGTTGCCATCAAATTTCTTGTTGAAGCGTATTCCATACTGATCATGGGAAGCCCTGATCAAGGGTTTCTGGTCCATGTGTGGTGGTGTAAATGTTTGGGAGAATTAAGCTGCTGTGTCATACTGAGATGAGATGTAGTTGAGATCCCCTTCAACTGGAGCACGGGGCATTTATCCAAACTGGAGACCGTGGAAGTTCTCAGAAGGTGGTAATCAAGGCTCACCAGGTCTGGTCATCCCAAGTTCAGAGAAACCTTGGTGGCGAGGGGAGGTTGGAGAACTCGAGAAAGAACTTAGAAAGAAACAGCACCTCCTCTTCCCACAGCACAAGCTTCCAACCAAATCCACTCTAGGCTTTTGTGTCTTTTCAGCCTTTCTCTCTGAGTAGGCGTGAAGTCCTAGGTCTTATGATTTCTAACAAATACTTGGAGAGATCATTAACTGGCGGCCTTAGTCTCCCTCAGATATAAAATACTGCCTTATCTCATTGGGTTCTTCTCCAAGTCTGTCAGCAAAATCTCTACCAAGTGACTTGCCAAATGCTAGCTTTGGAGAAAATTCTCTGCCCCTTGTCTACTGTTGCCTCATGGTTGTTCCCTGTTAACTGCACGGGCTTATCTGCCAGTGTTTGGCAACTTTGGTGTTTTGTTTGATGTTCCAGAGTAGCTCTCTCGTCACTGATTTCAGGCTGCTGTGTAAACTGGACCTAGTGAGAGTCTGGCAGAGTCAGCCTTTTAGCCCCGAAG